GGGGTTTTATTGATGGATGGCTCTGTCCGGGGGGTGGGGAGAGCAGGGGGAGCAGAGGCACATCCATAAACAGCTCGAGTTGTGAATGGAAAGAGACGGATTAGGAGCCAGGTGAAAACATGTCACACGGCGGAAAGAAAAATGAGCAGCTGGGCGAGACCAAATTGGTGTCCGATGAAGGACATGGGGCCTGGTGGAAAAAGGATCCCGGAGCTGGCGGTGCTGCACGGGGGAGGCTGATGGGGAACAGCTGGAGCTGGACACGCACATCTGGTGGAGCAGGGTGGGGGGAGAGGCAATGGCTGCTGTGAGCACCGTGCCACCGGCCACCGCACTCGGCGCGAGGCCGCGGGCCAGCCCTCGCAGGGGCACGGCGAGAGGGGCTGGTGCTTCGCTGCCAGGGTGATCCTGGGAAGGGGCCACAGCCCCGTCGCCCTGCCCTCAGCAGGGATTTACCTGGTGGGCTTTAGGCTCTCCTGTGCCAAGGGGTCCCCAGGTGGAGGAGCCACTGCCTCTTCCTGCATTTGCATACATGTAAATAAGCAATCAACATAATGAGGGCGAATGCAAACCAGGCTTTCAGTTTGCAACCAAGTCCTATTTTTAACCTTGGAGAAGGGTTTCAGCAGGAAGCTGCAGGCCCTGCCCTGGTACCCATCAGCACGTCCGGCGGTGTGGGTGCTCCCGCTGACCCTTCACCCCAAAGCACCGCTGACCCCACCACCACCACTGGGTCAATGCATGTTGTGCTCTGTTCCCGTTACCAAAGCAAACAGAAATCCCACATCTTTGTGGAAAGATGGACCACACAACATCACACCCTGCCTCGCAGGAGCCTTTTTGGGCAGCTCTCCCACTCGCTGAGCCCCAGGTCCTGCTTCCAGCCAGGGTGTGCACCCCAGGAAAGCCCTCGCTGCCTTGGGAGAGAAAGCCCCATGCTTAAACATGAGGGTATATTTAGACAGTGTCAATTTAAGTTTGCACATCAACCTTATAAATATGAAAGCCCATCTCCATGAGATGTTTAAGATACCTCATCACCCCTTGGAAAATATGCAGGAATATTAATTAGCCAGATTTGGGTACTATCTCATAATGAATAAATGAAGAGACTCACTGCCTAAGATGAACCACTGGTGTTTCATTGGGTTTTGTTACTTTCTTCTAAGAAAAGTGTGTTTTTAAGGTAATTCGCTCATTTTAACCCAGGCTGGCCCAGGGGCTCAGTAGATGCAGCCATGCCAGGATCAACCAAGGTGGGACACAGCAAACTACTTCTTACCTGAAGAGATCCTAAAAGCTGCTGTTTTACACCCCTGATTTGGCCCCAGCTGGCTGCACTGCCTCTGGAGTTGGAATCCTGTCCCAGCTGCAGCTCTGGGCCCAAGATGGAGGTGGAAAATACAGCCCCACTCTCAAAAAATTGATTTTTTTGCTTCTTCCTTTCCTGCCCTCAATCCTTGCCTCCTGCCCTCCTGCTCCGTTCCCCTGGCTGCTTCACTCCCTCCAGCTGGGCCAGGATGGGAACTTCCCAGTTGCTGTAGAAACCCAGATGAAGGACACACTTCAAACAAAAATGCCAAACAAGAAATGGCTTTGTGTGCTCCCGGATGGCCGCTTTCCCTTGCCAGGATGTGGTGGCTTTGAGGCCCTTCTTTGGGGCACCCTGTGTGGACAGAGAGGGCTGTAGGGACACGGGAGGCTCCCTCGCAGACCCGAAAGCTTGTGTTAAGCAGTGAGCAGAGGCTGGGGGTTACGGGGGACTGCACTTCAAAGGTGTCCATCACCCATGGGATGCTGCACTGCAGCCACTGGGGTTTTGACATTCCTGCCAGCTCTGGCACCATCTCCCCCTCTGGTCTTACGGCTAAGACACCCCTGGGACCCCAAGGGGCATCACCACCGTGATTTGCAAGATTTTGGGGTGATGGAGCAGTTTCCAGCTGGTGGGAAGAGGCTGAGAAGGGGACAGCCGGGCAAAGGATGGGGACACCAGCACACGCCGCAAGGTCGAGGTTGGATGGCCTAGGCGGTGGCAGGGCCAGGTGGCAGAGCCGTGTCCCGTGGGCACAGGGAAGTGGCAGCAGAGGAGCGGGGTCGGGACGGAGCAGGCAGCAGGCGCTGGGGGCCGGGGCCGTGCCGGGCCCCCCCGGCGCGTGGCGGCTGGCGGGGCCGGGGCGGCGCGTGGGTGCGGGGCGCTGCCGGCTGCCGGAGCTGCCATTGTTTGCCTTCAATCAAGATGTTTCAGGCAGAATCAAAAGCACCAACTGGGGAAATCATCATCACAAAAAATCTTGCGCCTGCAAAATAGGTCAAGTAAGACTCCAAAGAGAGAGAGCGTCTGATCTGCATTGCAAGGAAGAATAGCAACAGCTGTGATCTCCAGTATATATGGATGGGCTGGGGGGGGATAAATATATATATCCATGCATATGTATAACCGCTTACAGCTGTTGGGCCGTATGTTCATTAGGGCCAACTGTTTTGGAGGCAGAGGGATCAGCGCTAATCGGGAAAGGGAGTTTATCATCACATTCAGAGGCAAAAGTGTCAGGAGCAACTGCAGCCCCCCCGCCCCGCAGCCCACACCAGCTGTGCCACGCTGAATGCACCCAATTCAGGGCCCCTCCCAACCCCCCCGGGCTGTGAGAGCTGCAGCTCCTGCCCCAGCTCCAAAAGCAGCCGCCAGGCCCAGCTCTCTGCCCAGTCCCAGACCCAAGCACCGTCCCCAGGTGCAGAGAGGTTGTCACACCTCTTTCCCCACGCCCCAGAGCAGCTCTCCATGCCCACGCCACCAACACAGCCCCTCACAGTAAGGCCCCTTCGCTTATCCCTTCCTGGCTCTGGCCTCACAGGTGCCAGCTATAAAAATGAACCCAAAATACATATAAATCCTCCTGTCTGACATCAGGGAGGGTGATGGAGCCGGGGCAGGACAGCTGGCTCAGCCACCCCAAGACGCTGGGCTTTGTCCGCTCTGTTGGGACCCAGCTGTCGCAGGCTGGGCACAGCACAGTGTCCCAGCACACCACGATGCTCTCGGCAGCGGGGGACCCTCAGCCCCCCAAGCTCCTGCCAGACAGAGAAGCATTAAAGCATGCAGGCTGTGGCTCCCATTGGTAACACAAATGTTGCAAAGCCAAGCAGCAAGGACACCTTCTATTTGAAAACATCTCTCATCCAGGCGATTTACTTGCAGGGTGTTCCTGCCAGCTCCTAATGCAGCTCAGACTTGGGGCCCAACCCACCTGCCAGCTCCCCTTCCTCCTTGGGGCTGCGTTTGGCTGGCCCACTGTGCTGCCCAGAGGGCTGCAGCTCAGAGGCAGGCGGTCATGGAATGCTGCAAGCAGAGAGGATCCTTCCAACCCTTCCTCTTCTGAATGTGATGGGTTTTTTTCCCCTTTTCCCATTAAAAGTGATACAGATACTCATCTCGGTCAGGCAGCTACATAGGAAATGCAGAGGCACCCCCCACCCCGTGCTGTTTCCAGCAAGCTTTTGACAGCATCCCCCAACATGGGCACAGCCTGACCACAGCTTTACAAGTTTTGCTTCCAATCGGTGCTGGGAAGGGAAATAAGTGAACAGATTGCAATAAAAAATCCAACAAGCCCAAATTCAGCCAACTGAGCCCGAAGCTGCCATTTCGGCAGAAGCCAATCACGAGGCTTGTTTCCACTTAAACAAAACAAAATAAAATGAAAAAAGCTTCAGCCAGCGCCTGGGTGGGTGCCCGGGTGGGTGGGCTGGAGCACGGCCGTGGCCATCAGTCCAGCTGCCCCGCTCCAAGGTGTCCCAGCAGAGTGTGGCTGGGCTGGGGAATGCCGGCGCGGCGAGAACGCGGAGGCCGAAATATCCGGCTCCGCGGGCACAGACCGCTTCTCTGCTCTGATAAAGGCAGGCGTCTGGGGGCGCGAGGCCATAAACAGGGAAATACTGCTCAAAGAGGAACAAAAATCTCAGTGTTTTTTTCTCCTGCAGGCTGCAGATTATTATTTTCTTTTTTTTTTCCTCCTCCCCACACCCAATCCGCTCGGTTCCTTGTCCTTTCGGGAGCACTAAATTCATCATGTGGATGTGAAGCGGGGCTTGTGCGGGGAAGGACGCGCGGCTGGCTCCAGCAGACGCATGCAAGGTCACACGCAGCCTCGCCATAAATTACCGCGTCCCGCCGTAAACAGCAACAGGAGAGGGGAAGCGCGGCCGATTCGGGGCCGGGGGCCGCGGGGGCCGATACATAACGTTGTGACAAGTCAAACAACTCTCGGGGTGTTCACTTGCCAGAGAAATATTTTTCACATCCAATCCATTAGGCAAACAAGATGAAAAAGTATTTCCTACTTCGCTGAAAAAATACCAGGACTGAGTATAAAGCGTGCCTTAAAAAAAAAAAAAGAGAAAAGAAGTTAAGTGTGACCATTTATAATGGTTTTTTTTTTCCACTGGCTCTGACAGCCTTCCAGGCATCCTGACTGTGCAGGGAGGGACCTGATGCTTTAAAGAGTTCTAACAATTTCTTGCTTTTTGGCCCATCTGGGTGTTGCAGGAACAGTAATGAGTCAGATTAGCTGGAAAGCAACAGATTTGCTTCCCTCCCTCCTAACCCCCTCCCAACCCCATTTCACTGAACCAAGCCTAAATAGTTTGCTGCTTTTCTTTTTCCCCTTCCTTTTTCCTGCCAGGTCAGTAGAGAATGTGTTTCATGACATGCTTTTTTTAACCTACAACACGATTTTTGAAAAAAGATCCTCCCAGAGTTTCCCTTTCTCTCTGGCTGACTTCTCTGACAGTTTTGGAATACTAAAAATCCAAAGGAAAAAGGTTTCTTCAACAGTTTTGATCACTTCTAGTACCAGCAACCATTTCTGGTGGGGTGACAGGAGCAATGGAAGAGCAGCCTTGTGACCTGACTGGAAGCTCCTTGGGAAGAGACAATCCAGTCAGAAGATGAACCTGCTGAAGACAAAAGGATGACCCCCAAACACCAGTTGTCTTTCTACTAAATTTTAATTTATTTCCTTTTTTTTTTTTTGACAAAGACATCTAAATTATACACTGAGTAACAACATGACCAGATATTGCAAATATCCCTTTTTGGTGAAATACAAAAAGGGAACATAAAAGAAAGAGCTTGCGTGGACCTGGCCGGCCCAGGGAATGCAACAGCCGCCATCTTTTGCTTGTGGAGAAGAGTGAGCATGTTGGAGTGGGCTGGTCTCATCCCAGCACATTTCATAAAAAGAGTCTGGGGGACCAGTTATAGTTTTGACAGAGAGAAGTCATTAATGTGCAAGAAACATCATAGGTAGTGGGAAAAATGGGAGAAGGTTGCAAGACGCTTTGGCAAGCATTCTCCAGGGGCAGGAGAGACATTCTCCAGGGACGCTGCGGTGGAGGACACAGCCACAGCTGGGGGAGGACATGAATCCCCACACCCCACTCATGGTCAGAGCAGGGCCTTGGACTCAGGTTTTCTGACATGCCTTTGGAGAATTTCACTTCTCCAGCACCTCTCCCCTCCAGGGAACGAATGGGGCAGGAGCAGGAGAAGATTCTTTCATCTGTCGCAAAGGTAGAACCAGATTTAACGACGTGAAAGTGAAGCACGGGAAGGGAATTAACCCCTGTGACAAACATCCCGAGGTCTGCCTGTCACTCGGAGCCTTTAAATCATGGCTGGGTTTCTTCCCACCACAGGGGCTCCGGCTCAGCCCTGAGTCACCACGGCGGGGTGGGGCTGTGTTACGCGGGAGGTCAGGACAGAGGAACACAGCGGTCCCTCCTGGCTTTAAAACTCCAGGAATGGATGCGACGTGTGGCAGAGCTCCACCCATACCAGTGAGCCGCCTGGCTCCCCCAGCCTCACTTCAAGGGAGGGTGAAGCTGGCAGCGCTGGAAGGACGGAGCCCTGGTGCGCCGCTGCCAGCAGAGGGGCCGGGGCTGCGTTGATCGCGGGCAGGCGTTTCTGGCTGGCCCCAGACAGTTGTCCAGGTGGTTTTCAGCCAGGTGCTGCCCAGGGAGGGCAGAGAGCCCTGGAGAGGCCATAGCAGATGTAGATACATTCAGATAAGGAGCAGCAAGTGAACAGAACCTCAAATCCTTATACATTTTCACCAGGTTGCACAGAGAAACGTTTACAACACAATGAACATTTACAGCCATCACTGTAGGATGATATACTTAAGACATGGTCATTTTAACTCCCCACCTCCATCCTCCCAGCACAGCTCACTCTATCACGGTCTTCCTCTCTTACCACCTGGCACGAGAAAACCAAATTAACTACTGGGTTACAGGTGACATTCTGGCAGGTACAGATGCAAGCAACCAATAAGTGTGTCTACAAGTAAACATAATAAATGAGCCAGCAAATGTTTCTGGATCCTGAGTTCAATAAGGCAATTTTTCCTTCCCAACTAAAGTGATAGGAAAATTACTACATATTTATTTTACACACATTTCCAAGTTTAACCAACATGAGACTTAAAAAAAACCACATTACCCTCCTGGATTCTTTTCAGCCCCAGGAAGCCAACTGTGGCACTGGTGGGGTGTAACAGACTAAGTCTGCCACTGCTAAAAGAGTGGGGAGCGGGACAGCACCAACTCAAGTCCCCTGCAAGTGTGAAAGATCAATGCCTGAGCTCCAAAGGGTGCCCTGCCCTGCCTGGGCCAGAGGAGAGATACCCAAGCATTTCCCTCTACATCTGGTAAGCAATGTGGGCAAATCCAAAGCTTGGGGACTATCTGTCACAAAGCTCTGCCACTCAGCCAGCACAAGCCTGCTCACAGGAAAGGGTTGTAATTCTTTACATTGCTTGCATCAGGCAAATGCATTATTTGCAAGGAAAAGGTGATGCTGGGATGAATTTCTCCTCCTTGGACTGACCCAGGAACATGCCATACTCAAATTTGCAGCGTTCCTGATAAGCCTGCGCAGCTGGGGAGTTACCGAGCAAGCTGCATTTAAATGAACATCTCATCTTATGACTCCTTACTCAATCCATGCAAAGCCAGAGCTGTGTCACTTTGTCATTAGCGATTGCTTAACAGCTCACTTGAGCCCGCTCTTCCCCCCCACCCCGCTCCCCAGTCGTCTGTTTTTTAAAGCAAGGCTCTGCTACTCCGGCATGCGTGTCCTGCCTCCCTGCTGGAGACAGATGCACTAGGAGGGTGCTGACTCACGGACACAGGCAGATTAAAGTTGGATTGCTAAAGCAGTTGCTGTCCCAGCTGTCCCTGTGCCCCCAGCCACAGCAAAGACAGCTGAACTACACAAGGATCATCCCTGAACTGCTACTGTACATCCTGATGTATGGGGGGACCTGGAATGAGCCCCAGATGATTTTAATATGCCAAGCTGTAACACATAGACAGCCGGGGGCTGCTCCACGTACAGTGCAGATGTTTGTGCCGTGAGGTGGAGATGTCCAGGGGAAGGGAGGAAAAAAGAGCTGGGAGCTCCAGGGGTGTCAGCCGTCTGCCTGGGTCCATGAGTCAACTCGCTGACGCGTGGTAAAGCCACATGCTTTAGTACATGCAGCCTTCCCCATCGTGCGCGACCGCCCGTCTCCAGGAGGTGGAAGGGGTAGTGCAGTCCCCAGTCATTCTCTGGCCTTTCGCAGGCAGGCAGCAAACAAAGCTGGCAAGCAGGGCAGTGGGATTATTTTACCATCTGTGCATTAGAAACTGGCCCAGGAGTCACCAAGCTCGCTCCATGCAGGACATGGCTACTTTGGCGTGCTAATCGCTGCCGCTCCCTTGTCAGTCTGGGGCTAGATTTGAATTGGGGAGGAGGAGGTGGAAATCACATTCTCTTTTTCAGCAACTGTGTCCTTTTAAAGGGAAGCCGGCCTGGGGAAGAATGAATGAATGCTCGTTTTACAGAGCACTTCCCATCTGCCGTTCACCAGGATCCTCACCCTCCACCCGGGCAATCCACAGCCAGCACCAGGCTGGGGGACCTCAGGCACTGGACAGCCAGCCTGCCATGGGGCAGTCCCCTAAGTCCCTGGAAGAGCCAGGCAAGGAATGCTGAGGTGGTGGGGTAGAATACATTTTGCACATTTCAAAGAAGGAAACCTGGGACCTGATATCTCATTCTAGAAAGTAATCATGGACTTAATTGCATTTTCCTGCAGAGTTGCCTTAACATCAAGGGAAAATCAACAGGGATTGTTCAACATCAAGACTAATCTCACATATGGAACTTATTGAACGGAGGAACAACATTTTTGCTGGCTCAAGGTGAAATGCTGGGCTAAATTCTCCTTCAGCTGCGAGAAAAGCCCTAGGCACGCTCATCCTGCATTATTCCAGCTGTAAAGAGCTTCAATTATACACATATAACCCTTCTCTCCCTTCTACAGCGGTGTCGCAATGCAACAGTGCCTCGTTATCATCAAACTCCTCTTTTATGGCTATAGGAATATGTGGAAGTCTTCTACCCTTGTTACACAAATGACTCCTTAGCAGCTTTATTTTAAGAAACTACCCACAATTGGTAACACAACTGCATTTTATCTGTCACTGAGGGGAAGCTGTGACTGATGCCCGAGCGTGTCCTCAGCAACCGCGCCTATTAGGGCAGCTCCTATGCATCTAAGCCACTACAGTAACTCACCACTCCCTCTGCTCCACAATGAATCAGTCTTGCTTCTGCTTACAAACCTGCTTGCTAATCAGACATTTAATACTACTTATGCATAGGGAGGAAATATGTAATTCCTTTATTGGGATAAAAAAAATGATACTAAAGAGCAGGTCAAGTTCCAAATCCAGCAGTAGGTTTAAACCAATGTTGCTCCCTTTTCTCTCTCTCTCTTTTTTTTTTTCCTTTTAACAGCTGTAGCTGTGCACAGATGGAAAAACATTTGGTCAGAAAGCAGCAAATTAGTGTTTTCAGGCTAGAATTCTGCTCCCACCGCTCCTCCATTTCCATGCAGCTCAGAACGCTTTACTTCTTCTTAGTACTGACATTTTTGCACACCCAGTTCATGCCGTCCTTCAGACAGAGAAAGATAATGTTAGTCAAGCGACAGGAGGAGGAATCCCCCAAGCCCACCCCACCACCATTCTGCAAGCATCATGTTCTGCCTCCTCATTGGCCCCCTGCCTGCCCTTCTGTCCCCAAAACCACTGTGGTTTAAAAAAAATAAGTGCTTCCTTGCTTGGTAGATGTTGTCACACAGACATTATTAAATCTTTCATCTGACCATAAGAAAGTATCATCATCTCATCACATCACTTTGTGTAGGTCCTAAGAGGAAGGATCACTTTGCAGTCAAGGTATGTCAGTGGCAGATGAAGGCCCTGTTCCAGGTTTGGCTACAGATGATTTGTGTAATCTGGGGCAAGCCGTCTTATCTTTGAGACTGGATTTTAGGACACTGTTTGTTATACAGTCAGTACCCTGTTAAGAAAACAGCTCTAATTCTCTGTTCATCTGCAAGCCTTGAAATCCAGATCCATGAAAGTCACTGCAATAACCAGACCTGAACCCTGCTCCCTGTTCCTCAGGGCCCCCACAGAAAATGGGCCCTCAGGGATCCCACAGGGCTTCACTGAGAAGCTATGTGGTCATGTTTTAAGAGGCTGATATACTCCTTAAGGTATCTTTGTAAAAATGTGTGGTGACCTCTCTGGCCAGTGCAAGAAGGACAGCAGCACTTGTGCTGTGAATACCTGATTTGTGAGTTTATTGCCGAGATCCCAGAATGGGATATGCCATTGAAAGCCAAAGCAACACTTCATCTCCTCCTGCCACTTACCCATTAGGAGATGCGCACAATGGAGTGCAAGATGCACAGTCTCCTCATATTTGTGTCCCAGCAAATCCCTTACCTCTATCCTGTCTACAAGGTAACTCTGCAGATAGGGAGGCTGAAGGCAAAAGGTAGGGTTTTGGGGATGGGAGAGAAGCAGCACATCTTTGTGTTTGGAAGTCAGGCAACTATTACCTCAGAGTTCAGAGTTGAGGGATTTCACTGCATTATGTTCAGTGGTCATTTTTGTATAACTACCACAACAACTTTAATTAGACCCTTAGAAAGTCAGAGCTTTTGGGCAAATGTCACTGGTAGCCCCATTGTAGCAGTGTTGCTGATTTCCTTTTCCCTTGTTCCCAGACTGCCAAAAGGCTGCCAAGGACCTCAGCTTCCCCAAGGACAGCTAGCCCAAGGCAGAGTACAGCAAGCCCTTTGGGTGAGCCCTCACTGCTGTGCCTCTGTGTCATCCCTCAGCCACAAAGGTGGTGGCCATGTCAGAGGGGAGCTAAAGAGTTAAGAGAGAAGAGAGGGAGTCCTCAGGGCTTAATCAGAAGCAGAGAGGTTCTCACTTGAAAATACCAATTCACCTTGATAACTGCGCTATGTGACACTCCTTATCTGAAGGGGAGCAGCAACTTTTGAAATCAGCCTTTGTTGCTGTGTTAAATAAAGAATAAGTGAGCCCAGTTTGTGCTGGGGTGCACATGAGGCCTACACTAATAACACTTCTAACTCTAACCTTGGGGAGGGTTGGTGCCTCCAGTTTCATTTATTTATCTCCCCAGCAGAGATCAGTGTAAAACAAATTGTCTGAAATCCTCTGAGCAAATGGGAAAAGATGAGTGGTAGATTCATCTTAAGGCCTGGTAGCTTTGTGTCTTCCCCTTTCAATAACACTGATAACCTAGGTGTAAAACATGTAATGCCTTAAGCAATCAATAGGATGGTTTAGAGCTTATCACTTTAGAGAGAGAGGGAGCCAGTGATTCCCAGCATGAGGAATGCCAGGGCTTAACAATGGGGCTGGAAGGAGAGGTGTCAAGCCTTTGACTTGATTGTGTGCTTTAGAAATCTGCATGATTGCCTGTAAAGAGTAAAAATAAATAAATAACTAAAAATGCTCCCACAATGATTTCAGCTTCCCCTGCCTTGGAAGCAATAATCACATTTGCACACATCATGGCATACAAGGCAAGCAGAGCTCCTCATTCATTTTGAATGTAGGTTTATTTGCTGAACCAGAACAGCTGAGACAGCTTAAAGTA